ACCCACCCAGACCCACACCCACCCACCCACACCCACACCCACCCCAAAACTCTTCCATCTGATCATCCAGATTTAGCTGCTATTTATAATAATATGAGTGTTAGTCATCAATCAATGAAAGAATATTCAACAGCACCTGATTATTATAAAAAAGCATTAGCAATTCAAAATAAAAGTCTTCCATCAACACATCCTAATATTGCTACGACATATAATAGTATGGCAACTGTACTTGTAAATCTTGAAGATTATGAAAATGCTTTAAAATATGAACAACGTGCAGTTGATATTGCAAATCAAACTGTTGCACCTAATCATCCTCATTTAGTAACTTTTAACGATTATTACGAACGAATAAATATAAAAGTTCAATCAATGAAAAATAAATAATTATTTGTATATGAAGATTTTCTATTTTTGAAATAAAATTGTTTTTTTTGAAAGATGTCTTCACGAATATCTCATGAACAATCAAATTAATACAAAGAATTATTTTTTTTACCAACAATAGAATAAAAAAAAATAAGATTCAATTACGATCGAAAGAATCATAACATTTCAAAAGTATTATATTCATTTTTTTTCCTACTGTTAAAATGTAATGCAAACCGACTGTAGACAGCGTCAACACACGAAAGTCATAACAGGCTTTTTTTCCAACATAGAAAAGAAAAAGGTAAAAGTAAATAAGCAAATTCTTCCAACAAGTATTTGCGTATAGGACTAGCCGATTATTCCATCCGTTGTTTCTTTTTTTTCTTTGGAGTTTTTTTCATGAATTGCAAAATAGAGATGGATGAAATAATCTGTAAATTAAAAATATCAAATCGCTCTTTTTTTAATCAAAACAGCCAGAATGTTTATTTTTTTTCAATTAATAATATCAATATCCAGAAATTTCTAAAAACTACACTAAAATATTAGTTGCATTTTATGACAAATATTTTGATTGACAACAATTTATTTTATATTAAGACAATGTAATAAATCAGATATAAATATCACAAAGTATCATTTATTGTTTCATGCATGCCAGTAAAATACAATATATTTTTAGAAAAATAGCTAGTTATTATTTTTTAAAAGACGAAAGAAACTTCTTATTTGATGTTAATGTTCATCGCAAAAAAGATTATTTGGATTTTTTCAAATAAAAAAACAAATCGACTCATTTACAGTGACGTACGCAGGGGATGAATTAGAAGGCCCAGCCTGTCCCCGAAAAGAGTAGAACGTCTGGAGGGGAGTACAAATAAACTCTTTTTTTGTTATACAAATAATACATTTTTTTCATTACGGTCTCTCCCCAAAAAAATTTCTGAGTACGTCACTGCGCATTTACTTCCTTTTTTCGTTTCTTATTTATTAATCATTGTGAAAACAATTTTTTTTTCGTATTGGACCTATTAGTAATAAATTGTAAACAAAATATAATAAAAGTAAAAAGATTACATGAAATAGTGTTGTAACTATATTTCATTAATTAGCATGTGAGTTTGGGTAGGTTTAAGTTAATAATTACTCCCATTTCAAATAACATAAATAAATATTAGTTGTTGTATAAACGTTTTTATTTGTCAATCTTCAAAATAAATTTTGATGAGAAGAAAAAGAATGACTATTATTCATTGCTTGGTTTCACTGGAAAATACCAAGTTGAGCTTTATATAAATAGTAAAAGAAAAATGAGAAATCATTCACTATTCAACAAACGAAACGTTCCTATCACATCTCTACGATTTGATAGTGAGTAGAGTATAGATGAATATGAGTGGATGTGGGTATAAATGTAAGTGAGAATGAGGATGTAGATAAGAATGGCGACGAATAGGCAAAGCTGTTACTCCCTTCACCTTAGCCTCACTTTTACCTACAATCTCGATCCCTGTGATTCACACCCACGCTCTCACTTTATTTCTTTTAATTTCAGATAGCACTGTTTTGTTCTAATACAGTAGATCAAGGATAACCAGAACTTTAATATACAGTATTTATTATTATATCAAAACACTTCGATATGCCAACATCAAGTGAACTCGGAAAAGCTAAACCGTCGCGAGAACGCATCCAGAAGCTACCAAAACTCGAGGTAAGGATCGTTGATCAAAAACACTACTTGACCTTAGTGCAATGCTTGACGGATTGTCAATACTCCGTTATCTTAGATTGAAAGAACAATGGTACATTTCCTAATTTTCAATCGTATCTTATTTGCCGGAGTCTTAAAGAGCAACAATCTATTCCAAGTGCCAGAATTAAGTAGACTGGGTGTAAGACGAATATGTTGACAACAATAATAGCTCTTTTTTTGGAATTCTCATCAGTGAAAGGACGAGACTTAGGATGAGTTTTTATATAATATCCTACAAGAAATATCGTAGCCAAACTGACCATTTTTGAAAATCTTCCCAAACAAATGTATGATAACGCGATATACTTTCAATGAAGTTTGACCAAAAAAGATCGAATTCATTTGCACAATGTTAGACTGTGAGAAGATAATCACTTGCATTGTATCTATAACTATAGATATGAAGTTTCTGTATCTAATATGCATGCTACAATGAGGATTCCATTGAAAGCAAACTGCGCTGTTGTGTATTTTTTGAAAAGATTTCCAAAAATGGTCAGTTTGGCAACTATATCATCTTGTACAAAATTATATGAAAACACGTCCTAAGTCTACTCCTTTCGATTGGTGAAAGTCTCAAATATTAGTTTTGTCGCTGTCCAGATATTCGTCCCACACTCACGAGGGAACATATTTGAGTGTACCCACGGAGATGAAATTTAAAAGTATTTTATCGTGTAGTGACTATGTTGAATATCTCAAATATCGACATTTTAGCTGCCCGTTCTGAGGTCGAAAAAATAGCACTATTTCACATTTTTGCTATATATTATATCCTATTGTCTGATATCACGTTTTAACGAGTTACTTTTCGAAAACTTATGGAGAATATAGTTTTGTCCAGCGAAAATGGACACATAAAACATATAAAAGTTTCAATTTATGTAGTATTTTCGCTGGACAAAACTATATTCTCAATAAGTTTTCGAAAAGTAACTCGTTAAAACGTGATATCAGACAATAGGATATAATATATAGCAAAAATGTGAAATAGTGCTATTTTTTCGACCTCAGAACGGGCAGCTAAAATGTCAATATTTGAGATATTCAACATAGTCACTACATGATAAAATACTTTTAAACTTCATCTCCGTGGGTACACTCAAATATGT